AAGACAGGCTTTCTTACGAGGGGTTGCTGACTCTAGCAAGATGAACATTTTCAGATTCACAATTATATTTACTTATATGTCGTTTTCTAAATCTATTTTTATTCCAAAATTCCTTTTGTTGGATCTAAATATCTGGTGGTTTTCTCTTTTTTAATATTTATTTTTTAGTTCTCGGCGGACACAACATCTTTGTTGGTATGTGGTGCTGAGGAACGTACCTGGGCCGCACGCATGCCAGGCAAGCGCACTACCACTTGAGCCACATCCCCAGCCCCTCTGGTGGTTTTCTTAATCAAGTTTTTAAGATCATAATTTCCAACCAGCATGTCCGATTTATCCAGAATTATAAATCAACATGAATGGTGAATTGTCTCTGTTCACAACAGGATAAGATCTATGATCTAATTAAGGGAAAGTTCTTTGGGTGTGGCTTGTAACAGGAGATTAGGTTAAACCCCAGAAATATTTAGAATATTATAGCCTGAGAAATGTAAGAGTAACATTTCTAAGAAGAAAAAAAATTGTGGCTTTCTCTTCCTTTTCTTATCCAAATTGTCATTTGATTCTGCCTAGACTCAAAAGAAAAAATTGTGTTGTGTCTATTTCAAAGAGCTCACGGATCACGGTTTTCCAAAGGTGGAAGGAGARCCGTGGGATTTGATACTCAAGGAACAAGTAGAGAACAGAAGGACTTGAAGCTGGAGGTTGGGGGTTTAAGCCAATTTTGAYAGGTTCCTGTAGATATTGCTAAATTCTGACATTTCTGAATGATGTCATACCCCCAGATAGTTTCTTCAACTATCTTTTATAAAAAGCATATCTATTATAATAAGGTCTGAGTAAAWTGTTGAATCACACAAAGGATTCAAATTAAAGAGAGAGAGAGAGAAAAAAAAGTTGTGTGGGAGGGGCAGAGCCTTATAAAACCAGTCATTACCATGTCTAAACTGTGACAACTCTCCAAGGAGCATTTCCAGTCAGACAGCAGCTTCGAGAACAAGGTATTTCAGCTCTTTCCATGACCATCTCTGTGGGATACACGATTTAATTTTTTTCTCTTCATATAACAGGCATTATTTATGTATTGAGAATTCAGATGTAGGATGTTTCTACAGGGTTAGTTAAAAAATGTAGTGCTATTTTATTGATTAGTTGTTTGTTTAACTAAAAATATGTTAGTTTAAGATTTGAATTAAATTATAATAGCACTTGATTTTGAATCTCAGAAGCCATCAAATGCCTTTGTAGCATTAACCAAACCAAAATGAGCCTTTATTCAAGTTGTGATGTCATGTTATTGCACAGGTTAGAATATGTATATTCTGCACTGGCTATTATGTTGTTACTGAATATGATGGACATAGCTGCATAYATTAAAATATTTTCAYTTAAGCAATGAAAATATTTTTAAATAAATAAAAGGAAAAGAGAGTTCTGTTTTCTTCTAAAATTAACTGTCAGAAGCTACAGAAATAAGGCAGGGATTTGAGCTGGTTCCATCCAACATCAGAGTATGTTTACTGAATTTAGTTCAATAAWGGACCAATTTTGTGAAAGAAGAAATCAGCTGAACGCGTTGATGGACTGACTAACTAGGTAATTTTATACCCACAAACAGATAGTTATTCATCATGAAAATTATCAACCTACAGAAATTGCTTTTAATTTGTGGGCAGAATAAGTGGTAATTTTTGATGGGCTGTTTCCTCCTATTATTTTTTTCTTAGTTTTCTTTTTCTTTTTTGGGGTGGTCAATGTCAAAATATTCGCATTAGAAAGTCACTCAAAAAAGTGTTTAAAGTGCTGCAGCAAATTGCAGTCTGACATCCAGGGTCCGTGAGCMGAGGGACTGTGGCAGTGTGCCTGTGGCACCTCCCAGATTCTTTATCATCTCAGCCGAGTTTCAGTGGCACAGTTGACAACCTGCATTTCAGGAACCAACACAAACATCAGGAAGTCCAGCCCTGCGTATGAATTCCATTCACTTGCCTCAGTGGTAATATTAAATAAACACTGATGGGAGCATGTATTTGGAGGTTAATGTGGTGAGACTTATTACACTGTCAAGCGATTCACAAGAGGCTACCTGTTCTGGGAAGCTCTGGAACTGACACCACTCCTTGATTTCCATTTTGCATTAATTGTCTTGGTAATTCCCATCATATTAAGCATAAGGTGTGGGCTTGTCTGAGAGTCAGAAACCCGATATGCAAACGCCATCCTAGATTTCTAAATTGTGAGTCTCTCTTATTTGAGAAATTTGTAAAKAAATCACTAGATTTGTAATCAGAAAGCTGAGCCAGCCTTGCACTGGRCCAAGTAACCAATGTGCAATCTACATTGTTACATTTTCATTAATTTAACAGGAATTCCTAAGCTTTATTGGGCAAGTAATTGTGTGAATTAAACAACAACAACAACAACAAAAAGTTGCTGAAGAAATTAGGTAACTGCAACATAGACATAAAATATTATTATTAATTTTAATTTTATTTTATTTTGCAGTCCTGGGGTTTGAACTCAGGGGTGCTTTGCCACTGAGTTACATCCCTAAACTTTTTATTTATTTATTTTTTAAATTTTGAGACAGGGTCTCATTAAATTTCTCAGTCTGGGTTTCAACTTGTAATCCTCTTCTCTTAGCCTCCCAAATAGCTGGAATTGTAATTATATGCCATTGCACCTGGCATCAAATATTATTTCTATGTTAAATATGATAAATTGAACCTAGTTTAGAAATAGAATTCAGAAGAATTTTTAGAGAAGTAGATGAATCTGGCACAATTTGATTCTATTCTTGTTAACATTTTGTTCTTTATCAATTTATCTTAAATCCTAACTTAGAATTAATAGCCCTTTTTGATAGTTTGTCTCAACACTTAAATTTTACTAATGTCAAAATGACTAACTAAGCACATTATTACAAAGAACTACTATTCTGGTTCTAATCTCTTATTTGAATTTTCACATGGAAACAGAGAAATATATTTTATTATGTTTTTAAGRCCCAGCTTGTTTCCAAAAGATGTTGGGGATAATATATTTAGAAAAATCTCTACATGAGTCTAGTTGTAAAATGTTTTAATCAGTAGAAGGRAGAACAAACAAACTACTGAGCCATTCAAGTCAAACTAGGTGATGAAGCAAGAGAAAAGAATTAGTGGTTTTTTTAAACGTGATAAACTTTCTAGGAGCTTTCTAAATTTTCTACTTTCCTCTTTTTATTTCCTCTTTCCAACATTTCTCAAGCTATAACTTGCCCAACTCTGACGAATTATAGTGGAGCTACACATCAGCAAGTGAGGGTCACCAGGAAGGGTGGCCTTCTGGGCGCAACCTGGACTTGGAGCCCTGCTCCGCTACAGACTAGCTGTGTGACCTTACCTGAGTTACTTAACCTCTATGAGCATCAGCATGCAATCCAGGCACTCGGGGGGTGATCACCTCATACAGATACTATAAAGGTTGAATGAGGAGACGAGAGGAGAGGACAAGTTTTTATTTAATTTGCTATTTTGTCTTGACAAACTAGAACTGAATCATATTTCAAATGAGAAACTTTGATGCAAATTTCAATCACTTTCTTAAAAAAGAGGGACTTATCCACCAAAGTTTTACACAAGACACACATGGATTACAGAGACAAGGGATGACTGGTCCTGGTGGGAGCCCTGGCAGGTAGGGGGACAGCTGCAGGAATGGCTCATCCCAGGGGGCTGCCCAGCCCCTCTCAGTTCTGGGAAGTCATCGTCACAAGAAAGTTTCCCCAGAGAGGATGAATGTCAGAGTCCTTGATGTGTTTATGGATTTGGGTAATTATAGGGTGTGGTATAAACTATGATGAAAGAAAGATAACTAGAAAGATGATTGTCCCTTTGCACGAAATCCCAGATGTACGAAACACACACACACACACACACACACACACACACACACACACACACACACCTTGGGAGTTTCCAAGCATTCACTTGCACACAGAACCTTAGGTCATGGAGGTGTGTCTGTGATTTATTTTCAGGTGACAATAAATGGAGTGTATGTGTGTGTTTCGTACATCTGGGATTATCCCTGCATTCCTGCCCAGGTGGCTTTCCTGGCAGTGGGGGACCAACAAAAGAGAGCCCTTCTTGTATTTCCAATTATGAATTCCCTAGCACAGGAAGTGCTTTTAAGGCAAAGCTGTGGTTATGTGCAGTGTCGCACGCATGTGCGGGGAGTGGGGGAGGCATTTGTAGGACCTGGGTGACAGTACTGACTCTCAAACATAAGCCACTTCTAGGAATGGAAACTTGAAAGAGCATTGTACATCTCAACTGGAGCCAACAGGAATATGTGTGCACGTGGCATATGTTTGAATATGTATGACTTTTCCCACGTGTGTGTGCCACGTGGTTATGCACGTGAGTGAAGKGTAGCATGACCCTGGAGGCCACCTATCTGGCTGCAATTCCTACTCCTGCCCTTTATAGGTTTGAATGGCAAAGGTCACTTAATCTCCACATTTCCTTTGTTAAAAGAAATAGCCTTGCCTTATTGCCTTCCTTATAGGATCTCAGTGAGGATGACAAGATTAGTGCAGATAAAGTATTCAAAACACACCTGTTGGACAATAAGAACTAAATGAATGCTTTTGTTACTGCTGTTAYTATCAATATTCGTATATGGTAACAGGAAGCATCACTGCTCATCATAAAATGGTTCATTGTATCTCAGAATTGCAACATAATTCACAGGATCTGGTGAAAAGTGAGACTGCAGGCCAGGTTAAAGCATTTCCAAGATGGACAAGGACAGCTTGGCACCATCATGGGCCCTTTGTGGYTGCACAGGTCACATGACCTTGAAGTTTTCCCTGTCCTCCCTCAAGTTAGTCCATGGAGGAAGGACAGAGTGGGAAACCCTACCCTAAGCAGGGAACATCTGCCAACCTCACCCAAAATGCTGCACCGTCTTTTAGATCGTTTTTCCCATCTTTATTTTCCTTCTAGATTGAAACAATGGAAGACCTTTATGTGGCRAACACCATCTTTGCCCTCAATTTCTTCAAGCATCTGGCAAAAGTGAGTCCCACCCAGAATGTCTTCTTCTCTCCATGGAGCATCTCCTCCACCATGGCCATGGTCTACCTGGGTTCCAGGGGCAACACTGAAGACCAGATAGCCAAGGTGAGTTGGCACTGAAGCTTCACATTAGGCCTGAGGGATCCTGAACTGAATTGTACAGTTCTTCTTGTTTTAAGCTCAGGTCATCAACCCTAAGAAGACAGAGATCGGGTGTGCTAACAAATCACCAGCTTTTACAACACAGATTCCTTAGACTTAAATGTACAAAGCCACCAGGAAACCCCTCAAGYGTAGATAGCAGAAGGCATATCAGAGTTTATTAGCTTTCAAGGCTGAAAATGTTAAGTGACATCTTTCATTTTAATCTCCACCCTCATACTATTCAAAGTGAGTGTTTTGCACACATTCTCTCACTTGGTTTTAAGATAAATATCATTTTATAGATGACAGCATTGGCAGTGTGAATGAAGAACCTCTCCCAAGGTCGCCCACAGTATTCTAACCCCCAGTTCAGGCTCCTTCCCKTTGCTCTCCCACCGTGGAGCAGCTGTTCCCCTTTCCTATGAAGAATTCCTCATGGCTTTAGGAGAGGCACAAAGAGAAAAGAAATGCACCAGGATAGTGGTCACCACACTCACAGAGACACAGAGGTAGACRTGGCTTCAGAGGACCTCATCATATCATCCAGCCCGGGAGCTCATGTCCACACCATGGGGCTTGGCATCGTGTATGGCCAGTCTTCAAATTCAAGGTGGACAAGTGTGCAACAGCATTACTAGAGACTCTCTGTCAAGGCCTCTGCTTTCCTTCCCTGGTGAAAGGACACAGATCCAGGCAGGGGACACTTTCTGGGGTGGCTGAGGCCTTAGTTTGCTGAAGTGCTTCAATTGCACATGGCCATAGACTTAAGGGATCCATTCAACACTTTAAAGTTCTCATGATCCTGTTTTTCCTAGACCAGTGAGCGATCTGGACGTGGTCATCATGTAATTAAAATTCCTTTGTGCTCACATCCATGCTGACATTAAAATCAAATTGCTTTAAGTACACGCAGGCATTGTGCTTTCAGTCACACCAAAATGCCACCGGCTGGTTTCTGGGTTCCCATGAGAAATGTACCTGAGAATAAATGCATCCCTTTCAGGAACACGGTRACCCATTTAGGGTAGAGCACGTTGGCCAATCCCACTGCAGGAGGAGAGGAAAGGACTTATCACTGTGCTGGTTGCAGTTTAAACATCAAGACTTATGACAAAAACCTTGCTCAACTCGATACCAGCAGGATTTGGCAACATCCCTTCCCCTTTATCTTCTTTCTCCTGGAAAAATAAAGAGAGTAAACTGCATTGAAAACCTTTAAAGACATCAGGGGTTTATGTTTTTGAATGTAAAGGAATCAGAAGCAACACATTTGAGGGCAAATGCTAAGTAGATGTTCCAGGTTGTTAAAGTAAAAAAACTTGGTTTGGATACTAAAGGAAAAATGAATGCAATGGTCACTCTGGCCTCAAGACACTTTTTCTATATATCAAGGTGCTTTCAGAACTTGGGACTGTACAAAGATTTTATATAATCTTCTTATAACTTGGTTGCATGTGCAGATTTTCAAATTCTAATGCTTATTTACTTTCTAAATTATAAAAAATAATAAATAAACCRTGCAGTTCCTTGCTTGGACGAGGAAGACATGGGTGTCAGGGACAGGCCCATAAGTGTCTGAGTCCTGGCCTTGTCACTTACTGCATGTGTGCAGGCATGGAAACCCTTGGAGCTGCAGTTTTTTTCTTATATAAAATGGGAATGAAAATGCKTAACTTGTAAGACTGCTGAAAAGATTAGAGAGAACATGTGGACACCTAACAGCAGCAGTTGTAACAATAGTTCACACTGGTTTCTTCCGTAGCCAGAGAGCTCTCTATGAACGTCTTCAAAATTCTATGAAGTAGTTGCTGTGATTATCACACTCATTTTGCAGATGAGGAAATTAGGGTAAGGAGGAACCTTCCCGTTGAGGACACTTGCAGCTGGAAGAGGTGGCAGAGCTGCAATGAAGGAAACTCCTAGAGAGCAGAGGTCCATGTGAAATCAGGGTGCCAGTGAGGAATGTCTTTGTAGCTCTTAGGGTGAGGTCATGGACCAAGGATCTGTGCAGGCCAAGCTGCATCTGTGGGTCTCAGGGTGGCCCAGGGTCACCCCACATCCCCACTTCTGCAGGGACATTGCCTGAGTGACTTTGCAGTGAATAAGGGTCAACTGTCCTGGAAGGGAGGGAACGAGAGAAGCCATTGCAGGAAACATCCTTCCCTTGTGAAGGGACAGAGTGGGACCACTTCTTTTCAGAGAGGGTGGCAGGACCTATGACATATGCTGGGGGGGGGCATTTTTAAGGTCCCTCAAGTGCTAACTTTGCCCTCCAGTCCAGGAATTCACCAGCTGGCCAGGCATGGCTGCCCTTCCTCATCAGCCAAGCCACAGTCATGAGTCCATTTACAGGATCAGCTTCTTACCATGGGTCCCACAGGAACTGCAGCAGGTCTTGGGGCCAGGACCCTGYGGGTGCTGAGACTGACAAGCTGGACAAGTGACAGTGCTGTGGGGAGGGGAGGTTGCTTCTTAGAGGCTGGTCTCTACCCGCCAGCTTCACTGTGTGATCTCAACTACTTACACTATAGAYCCATCTTGTGGTCAGATCCTTGTCATCTGTCCCCCCCCAGGGACTATAATTTCTCTGTGTACATATGATGTATGTTAATATTTTGGATGATCCCTGTTTACTATCGAGGATCTGCTTTTATGCTTCAGCTTCTTTTGACTCTTAGTTTTTGACAGATAAGAGAATGATATGAGAGAGATAAAAAGTTCTGAGTTAGTTGTATTATTTTCTTTAAAATACTGGCATTTTTTCAAGACAATTTATGGGCTGGGTGATAATTTAGGTAAGTTAGGGAATGGGTTATAAATCACCTCATCTTCCAAAATGACCAGTGTGTGAATGAATACAACCGCCTCAGGTGGTTTCCTGTAAGGGAAATTAAATTGCGGACCCTTCCGTGTCACATAGAAAGGGTGTCTGGTGGCTCCCCCCCMCACACACACAAGGCAGGGAGCCAGAGATACTTGAGTCCAGCAGGAGACCGTCACCATTCTCCCTGTTTCTGATTGCAGGTGCTTCAGTTTGACAAAGTTGGAAACTACAGCATGGCGTCAGGGGCCCYGCAGAATCTCACCGGTTGTGACTTCATGCAGCAGATACAGAAGGGAAATTATCCTGATGCCATTTTGCAGGTAACTGACTCATTTCTTTTGAATTCTATTTCTAGGATCTTTTTTTTTTTTTCTCTCAAAATCACAGTGTTAGGCTGGGAAGGATCCTAGGACAGTTTCCTCCAGCCACAGAGAGAAAAGGAAGACTCAGAGTCATGACGTAAATTTCCCAAGATCAACGAATAACMCAGGGCAGAGCCAGGGCAGAATCCACACTCATGACTTTAGGCCAAGGTAGTTTCTCAATTCTACCATAACCCTCTGCCATTAGATATTTATTTAAAAACTATTCTTTACTATAGACACCTAGAATACATATGCGTGGGTGGAAATTTCCAGAGGAGAGAGGGTGTGGGGGTGTGACAAATAATTGAGCAACGGTGAAGGCCATGCCCAGTTAGCGTGTGAGAGGCTACTGACTCTCAGAGATCTATATGTCTGTCTGTCTGTCTATCTGTCTGTCATCTGTTCTCAATACTCCATTTCCTTAAAGGTCATTAGCTGTCTGGCTACACTCTAGGAACTGGGTAGAGATGTGCTCCTGTTGGTAACCAGCTTCCATGCTTATGCTCACGAGACAGATTATGGGGAGGTGTCTCATAGCTTTCTTCCTGAACATGGTGATGCTCCACCCATCCATCCATCACACAGGACATTGTGGGCTAGAGGAGGTGGAGAAGGTGCCTATAACCTGGAGCTTACRCTGAGTGTCCTGTAATACCTGGAAGTCCATCTGGGGGGCTCCTTCTCTGCTTCATCTCCGYTGCTGCTGTGACTGAGCCCCGTGTCTGTCACAGTGCTTACAAGCTTTCTGATTGTAGGTGCTTACAAGTTTTGGGTTGTGCACTGGAATTCCCGTTCACTTTTGTGATTTTCTAAAACCCAGATTTTCCACTGTGTAGGTCACCCTGTAAATGGGTACCTATAGAAGCCAAGTGAACCGTGTTAGATCATTACTAAGGTAACATGTCCCCCCTAGCTTTATCRACAGCTTCACAATTAACAAACGTGACAAATAAAAATTGTATACATTCTAGTTATGCTAGGGTGTGATTTGATCTCCCTGTACATTATGAGTTGATTATCACAGTCAAATTTACCCACCACCACAACTAGTTACCATGTGTGTATGGGGGGAGTGAGAACATTTAAAATATACTCTCTTCACAAACTGCAAGGAAACAATATGGTATTTTTAACTATAATCAGCATACCATACTGTAAATACTCAGAACTTATTCATCTTATAAATATAATAAAAATTCCTTACAGGACCTGAAGTTTAGAAACTCAAAAGAAATCTACTTTTCTTGGAGGTTATTGGAGACTCCTGGTTGAATCCAATCTATAAAAAGGGTAAACTTTGAAACAAATTAAATTTTATCTCATTGGCTTTAATGAGCCACATCTTATCAAAACCACTTCCTCAGAGATCACTCTAAAGGACCAAAAAGATATATGCATGATTACAGTGTTTTATTACTATGTTAAGAAAAGCTACCATTGCTTAAGAAATATCTTGCTTGCTAGTCCTCTGTTATAAAAAGAAAATCCCTGTCTTCTGTTTAAGGCACAGGTGAGGGACAAAGTCCACTCATCCTTCCACTCCATCAGCTCAGACATCAACGCAACCACAGGGGATTACTTATTGGAAAGTGTCAGTAAGCTGTTTGGCGAGAAGTCTGCAAGATTCAAGGAAGTAAGTGAAGCCTTTGACTGAGATGACTGGGGTCCCGAACCAGCAGCAGGGGCTCTGTCCAGGGGCCTGTCTACAATTCATGAAGAGTCAGGATTCCATGCAGCCTCCTTGAGGCTGGCCTCATATCTCCCAGTCCGTCCTGTTTCCTCTGTCAGTTTTCCCCTTCCTATCACCAATGTCCCTGTTGCAGAGTGCTAATCAGGAAGATGAAACCAACTTTTTCCAGGGTCACTGTTCCCCACATGAAACCTCTCTGCTTTTGTTTATTGTCTATTATGTGAATAATGCAAGAGAGTAGATAGAGTTTGTGCTGGAATGTGAGGAGGGGGTTACGGAGAACTTGTAATCTGTACTATGTCCTCCTTCAGCACCACTCCTGCGAAATTCCATCCCAACTCCTCCCCCAGGCCTCCCAGGCTTGACAGGAAACCCATGATTTAAAATCACACCCTGGTTTGTTCATGATATATTCCATGTAACCTTTGGCATTTTCTTGCATTAAAGGAATACATGCAACTCTGTAAGAAATATTACTCAACAGAACCCCAGGCAGTAGACTTCCTGGAATGTGCAGAAGAAGCCAGAAAAAAGATTAATTCCTGGGTCAAGGCTCAGACGAAAGGTAACGCAACTGAAATATTTTTTTCTTTCCACGTTGGTCTTTTAAAATCATCCTTGAACTTATGCTTCACTCCCTGAAAAATTGTCCAACTTAAATGATTTTGGTTAAATAAGTTTATTCATGTTTAGCTCAATGATGTTTTAAGAGGCAAAGATGAGGCCCAATAATCGAAGACATGTCCAGTACTTAAATATTCTGCTTTTAGATATTATCAGAGAATAATATCTAAAAATTTCAAATAGGAAATATTAGAATTGAAATAATTGTGGCTTTGTGCTCACTGTGCACAGAAGCAAAGATATAAAGACTTGCCCCTAATTTTAGTATGAGCTATGAAGAACACTGGCCACAGAGCAGGGAAGAGTCATGAAATTCTTTTCGCTCTTCCTTCTTTCACTATGCAAAGCCAGTTCATTGTCAAATTCTTTGGTTTTCTCGGTCACCTGTAGCATTTYAACTCCAGTCCATGATTCTTCTCATAGTCATCTCCTTCCCTTTGCATTTTTCACAAGGACTCAAACTTAATTAAATCATTCATYCTTTATTATTAAATGAATTTGTTAAGTCAATAAATATTTATGTATCACATATTATATGCCAGGCAGACAGTGCACGTAGATGAGGATGAAAATTGTCAACCAAGCCATCTATAGTCTAACACCTATAGTCTAACACAGCAGTCGTGAGGTTAAATGGCACAATGCCTTTGAGTGGTGAGGAGACTTCAAAACAGGTGCTCACTGAAAAGAGACTGCTCCTTMTGCCATGTTTTTAAAGATCAAGCCAGAGGCCGTCGTTTCTAAGAACCCTCTCTGGCTCACTCCTTTGCAGCCTTCTCAACATTATCAGAGGACTTTTCATTTTTAGCCCAGTTAGAGCATGTGCTATAGACTATTTCACAACGGATTTTGAATATCTCTTCCAGCCCTCGAGCCTCTTCGRGATGCTTCTGCCTTCTCATCCCTTACATCAGTACTCCTCCTACTTTATGTCCATCACAATTTAAAAACATGTTTTGGAAAACCCGTTCAACTTTCAGACCCAAAGACTGTCTTGAGCAGGTCTAAAGGGACTCAATGGCAAGCTGTAGGTGACCGCTGTTACATTCATTGGAGCCCCTTTCACTTCCTTCTGGGTTCAATAACTGTCAGAAAACCATGAAACATTGAGCAAACAGTATAAAGAGAAGTGAAAATCTCCTTTCCAAATTTGACAGTAATTTTGTACCTGAAATGCATATTCTTTCATTTTTTCTCTTGGATTTCACAAATTTTCTGAACTTCATGTAAATTTAGAGGAAAAAAAAACTGAGCATAAAGATCAACATCTCCGCAGAGTTTGACAAATGGGGATACCCCATGTGACAGACACTTGACAGTTCCAAGAAATCCTCTTCTATATTGAAGGCTCTCGATTACAAACCCTAACCCCACGTTATGTTTCCCGTAGGCAGAATCCCAAACCTGTTACCTGAAGGCTCTGTAGATGTGGAGACCAGGATGGTCCTGGTGAACGCAGTCTACTTCAAAGGAAAGTGGAAAATTCCATTTGAGAAGAAACTCAACGGRCCTTATCCTTTCCGCGTGAACACGGTATGAGACATCAGGATGCACTTTTCTAATCACATACTTTAGGGCTTTAGATAAGACAAAGATGGAAAAATCAGAGACAACTCATTGATTCTCCTCCATAGCAAGCTGGTTACAACTCATGTGTGTCAGACACTGACTTTTCCAAGTTACTGAGCTTCATTCAATAATTTCTTAGGAGGCGATATCAGTAGTGGTGAGGACCAGGGATTTTCCAGTCACACGAGCTGGAAAGAGTCAAATGTTGGCTCTCCCACTTACCAGCTATGACCTCACTGATCTTTTATGTACCTAGTTTTAACCTATAAAACTAGGATAACATAATATCAATTTTAAAGGTTGTTGTAAGTATTTAATGAGACTTTACAGAGTGGTAGGTAAAACGAACAGTAATTCTTTTTTTTCTTTTTCTTTTGGTACTAGGGATTGAACCACCAGGGACTTTAATACCGAGCTATATCTTCAGCTCTTTTTATTTTATTTCGATTATTTTGAGACAGGGTCTCACTAAATTGCTTAGTGCTTCACTAAGTTGCTGAGGCTGGCCTAAAACTTGCAATCCTCTTGCCTCAGCCTCCTGAGTGGCTGGGATTACAGATGTGCACCACCATGCTCAGCAAACAGTACTTTATTAGTATTATTAGGTATTCTTGTTATGATTGTTATTGTTGTTTACCTTACTGAATAAAAACTTATCCTGAAAAAGCTAATCAGAATACCCACTGTAAGTGTATGCAAATAATTTAAGTTTTATTTTTTAAACTACATTTCTTCGACACTAGAGGAGGGTACATTCTTTTTTAGGTTTGTTTGTAAATGGAATTTTAGGATTTGCCTTCACACTTCACTTTTGAATACTTTCAGACTCAGCAAGTACCTGTACAGATGATGCACTTGCACGAGAAGCTGAACATTGGATACATAGCGGACCTGAAGGCTCAGATTCTAGAACTCCCRTATGATGGGGATGTCAGCATGTTCCTGTTACTTCCAGATGAAGTCGCCAATGAGTCCACCGGCCTAGAGTTGGTGAGGCAGTACAGCATCAACCATGMTGAAACTTCTGAGGCTGAACCTACATTTTGTGAGATTGAAAAGTAGAAAATCTATACATAAAAATGATTTGCAGTTTCTCCCAGAGATAGGTGAATCAGTTGAGAGTCCACGTGGCATGTCTCAAAATTTCACTCAGAGCCTTCATCATATGTTATACATGTTACTTTCTTGAAGAATTTTGACCAATCTCTTAAATTTTTACATTCCCCACAAGGTGGGAAAGTCACAGATTTTAACATTAGACTTACTCAGCGGGTCTTTTTGTTTGTTTTGTTSTGTTTTGCAGCTGGAAAGTGAAATAACTTACGACACACTCAACAAGTGGACCAGCAAAGACACAATGGCTGAAGATGACGTGGAGGTCTTCATTCCTCAGTTCAAACTGGAAGAGCGCTACAAGCTCAAGCCCATTCTGAGAAGCATGGGCATGGAGGATGCCTTCAACAAGGGCCAGGCCAATTTCTCAGGAATGTCCGAGGGGAATGACCTGTACCTTTCTGAGGTGTTCCATCAAGCCACCGTGGATGTCAATGAGGAGGGCACTGAAGCAGCAGCTGGCACTGGGGCCATTGTGACGGGGAGGACTGGCCACGGTGGCCCACAGTTTGTGGCAGATCATCCTTTCCTTTTCTTTATCATGCACAAAATAACCAAGAGCATCCTATTTTTTGGCAGATTCTCCTCACCTTCAAATTGAAAAATTCTGTTTCTGCACAGGGTTTTGTAGCCTGAGCTATCTGCTTCAGAATTGCTATGTCAAATGCCAAAAATTTAGAGACTTTTTCTTAATATTTCTGTTCTYCTGAACAACTTCTGCTGCACACTGAATACAAACTCAGAAATMATTACACAACTGTCAATCATAACATGACAACTCTATTCATCATTTGAGCTCCTAAAATGAGATGATATACATTTAGTTCTTCCCTGTTGTTAGTTTATATCATAGCAGTAGCTTTTTCTGTTATTTATTATTTTATATAATAGTGTTTTTTTTAATTATTATTCACTGTCTATTTAATGTAATTGATAAAGTTACAGAAGCAAGGGGTCAGTCTAAAGAAATGCATTCACTTGTTTTTATAATGAAGGATAAGTATGTGTCCCTACCATGTTCTTCCATAAAAATATCTGGAAGAAATCATTGAACAAAAAGCAGATGTTTGTTATGCACATTTCTAGCATTATGTATCACATATGTGTGTGCAGCTCATGTAAGATTACAAACATGCAATAAATCAACATGTTTATGCTCAGCTATTCATTTGTTGTCCTTCCATTAGGTCTTCAGATCATAAGACCTTGCATACCTTGCATGTCACTCAGCATTCCATTACTGTGACAAAATACTTGTTGGTTACAACTCAGTAATCAACTTTAAAAGGGAAAGGTTTATTTGAGCTCACAGGTTCRCAAGTTCTAGTCCATGGCCAGTGGCCATGTTGCTTTTGGCCTGTGGTAAGGCAGTGCCTTAGGGCAGAGAGCATGTGGTGAAGTAAAGGTGCTCAGTTCAAGCCAGRGCATGTAGCTCAATGGTAGAGCACATGTCTAGTACACACAAAGCCCTGGGTTCCATCCCCAGCACTACAAAACAAACAAAAATGTTGCATAGTCAGGGTGCCAAAGAGAAAGAAGAAAACAGCATCCCATAATACCGTTTGAGCACACCCCTCAATCACCTAAAACCTCCCACTAGGCTCCATCTTTTAAAGGCTTCCACTGCCAAGGTGGTTTCCAGTAGCACTAAGCCGAGGACCAAGCCTTTAATACATGGGCCTTTGGGGAACATTCCAGATCTAAACTATAGCACCTCCATGCCCAGGAGTTGAGCATCATGACTCCTTTGCAGGAACCCTGAAGGCATAGGCAGGATAAAGGAGCCGAGAGCATAACCACCCATCTTGCAGAGAAACCCAGCGTTGAGGGTGAGGGAGATGGGGTCCTGTGAAACATGCTTTAGAGCTTCTCACATCAGCAAAAAGCAGAGCAAGGGTGACAAACAGTCTGGGTGAAAGTCCTTTGGTGGCACCAGTGTCTAATCTCAGTGACACTAGGGACAACCACCAGGTCCAAGGCTCCAGACACAGAATCAAGGTCACAGTCATTGAGCTGAGAGTTGAGAGCAGAGGAGATGGACTGGGTGTAAGAGCAGGAGGGAGACACAAGGGACTCCTTCTGAAGGCGCTTCTCTGGAGCAGCACTGAATGCTGCTGAGGTCAAGGGCAGAGAAGAACATAATTCAAAACCTAAGAACTAAGCAAATCACAGGTTTGGGGGCATCTGACTGGCGGCAGAGCCTGGCTGCAGAAGTGGGCTGGATCCTGGAAGTGTATTCCAGGCTCCCCTCCCTGTGATGTTGACCCTTAGGAAGGAGACTTGGGACTTTGATGATCTGCATTCAAATCCCAGTTCTAACCTTCAAGGACTCTAACTGTGGGTCAAGTATGGTGCATTTTTTTGCTTTGGTTTTCTTTTACTGTAACATTTTTCATGCAGTTGCTATGAACTCGTAATTAATTAAGTGCGTACATATTATGTGATTAAAATAGAAATGACATATRTAGTGTTTAATAAATGTTAAATGCACATTTAATAAATAACAATCATGATAATTGTTGCCTTTATGAGTATGTGTAGCTTGTCAGATACATCCACAGAATTCCAGAAAGCTGTTCAATAATTTTTTTTTTTTTTGGTTCTGGGGATTCAACCAAGGGGTCCCACTAAGTTGGTTAGGGCTTTGCTAAGTTGCTGAGGCTGGCTTTGAACCTGGCTTTGAACCTCCTGCCTTATGTCCCAAGTTGCTCAATTAATTTTTAAAGCTTGAATTGTATATTTTTAAAAATTTAGGGGTTATATATGTGTGTGTGTGTGTGTGTGTGTGTGTGTAATTTGGGGAAGTAGTGGGGATTGAACTCAGGGATGCTCTACAACCGAGATACATCCCCAGCCCTTATTATTATTATTATTATTATTATTATTTATTTTGAGACAAGGTCTTGCTAAGTTGCTGAGGCTGACCTCTAACTTGTGATCCTCTTGTCTCAGCTTCCCATGTCATTGGAATTACAGGAGTGTGCCACTGTATCTGGCTTCTCCTAAATATTTTTTTATCCATTTTTCTATGTATTTTAAAAATTCATTCAGCAAAGTGGTAGATGGTTGCTTTCCAAATAGTTTTGGTGAGTGTTAAAAGATCTTTCACTAGCACTATTGAGGACAGAATCCAAGCACAGGATTCGAGGTTCAAAGCTCTCGAGCACTTTGGGATATGATGTCATCATCTTTTKGCTCTCGAGATACTGATGGGAAAGTTTATATCAAGGTAGTTCTTGCACTTTGTACTTCTTATAATGTTCTTTATGGTTCTTGTTTTCCTTTCTATATTTTTAGTGTTTAGTTGCATTAAGATTTATCGTTTTTAACTGAAGTAGTATTGCCTTGCTTTTTAAGTTGCCCTGTTAATCTCACTAGAGATTTTGCATCTATAGACCTGACTCTTGCTCCAGTACTCAGAAGCCTTCAGCCATGGCTATGGACTCAATGCTTGCACCCCCAATGCTCAAAATTCATATATTGAAACTCTAATCCCCCTAAACACGATGATGTATGAAAAAAGGAGCCYTTGGCAGGTGATTAGAGTTAGGCTAGGGCATTAGGGCGAAGTCCTGTGATGCCTCTGATGCCCTCACAGGGAGATGAATGRATCAGAGCCTTTTCCCTGCCCTGTGAGGATATACAAGAAAGGCAGCCACYTGCAGCCAGTGGGAGGGCCTCCGCCTGCATCAGCAATGCTGACACTGTGAACAGGCTTCCAGCCTTTACAGCTAAATAAATAAGAATAAATTTATTTGGCAAGAAGACTGCTGGAGTTCCTTATGTGACACTGATGTATGGATGTGGATTCTACCTGATCAGTCAAGAAACTGTTCCCATCTTCTTAAAGTCAAGATTAAGTGTAGAAGTGGACAGACAGGCAGGACACCGAAGATAGCAGGATACAGTTTTATTTGGCTGCAGCCAGGTTCAGAGGGTCTAGCTTTCACTGTAATCAATCAATCCCCCGAGCCTTGAGTTCAGGCAGTTTCAGAAGTTCATACCCAGCATGTAAGCAGAGGGACTCAGAAGTTCACAGTCTGCAGAAGTTCACACAAAAAGCAGTTTTGTTTTTTTGTTTTTTGGTTTTTGTTTTTTACTCCTCTGGGTGAGTTTTAACCCTTCAAGGACAGCGCCTGAGAAGGGGAGAGCTTCTTCTCCCCTTTCTTCCCTCCCCTGCCAGCTGTTACCAGGGGACCCAATTAGTAACCTCTGCTCTTATCTTTGAAATGCAAACATCTCTGTGAAGCTTGGGCCCAGGCCAGAGGCTAGTTAAGAGAATCTGTGTTTCTTATCACACTCTGCATCTGCAGATGCTTCCCTTGAAAACCTTTACCAATTGTAAAGTATATATGTATATTATACACACACACACACACACACACACACACACACACACACACACACTAGATAGTTCATAGAAGTTTATGAAAAAAATAGTAAAGCGGTGTTCGGCACCTGGAGTGCTGATCTCTTTCAGGTCCGTGGCCAAATTGATTGATTGTAAGAAAGACCAACAGGAAATAAGAAGTTTAACTTTACTGGACTCTTTTGTAGAAACTCTTTTGCTGATAGTCCTAAGATCAGTTATGGTGAAGATTTTTGGAGAAGCTTAATTAAGATTTTCTGTGGAGGAGAGGGTGCCACTACATAAGTTTTACCCATTTCCTGCCAAACCTTGTCTAGAATCCTTTCTCACTCACCTCTTGATTAAACCACTATTTATAGAAATACTGCTTATATCAAGAAGATCACGCATGTGTGAGAACACGACCCCATGGGAGAACAGATGCCCTGGTTAAGCTGTCCAGCCAGCGGTATGCAGTTATAGCAACCTTGGCAGACCAAGACAGCSGTCAACAGCTCCAGGCCACTGCCTACTCTGGCTCTCCTCTTCTCCCACAGAATGATCGGATGCACCTGGAGCTCTTTTCTCTTTCTAACGTTTTTTGAATACCTTATAAATCCACACTGTCCAATGCATGGATACCATAAAAACGCTCTGCCCAATCTCTCCTTGCCCCCTATTTCTCATTCACTTGGTTCTCTCTCTCTCCCTACCAGCCACAGACGGCAATGCCGCCGATAYAGCTCAACAGAGGATCTGATCGCCCCTTTCTCTTTTTCCGCCCCCTAACAGGCCACGAGATAACACGTGAACAYGACCCAGGCAGTATTTCTATAAATAGGGATATCTAGAGTCAAGAGTGGGGAAAGAATCTAGAACGGGTTTGGGGAAAACGTGAGTAAAACTTAGTCCGTGACTTTAAGGAGAGGAAGAGTTTCTTGGCTGAGTAGGCAGAATCCACAGAGATGCCCTGAGTGTCACCCCAGGACTCCAGCCATCTCCTGGCKGAGCAGCCATGGGGCTCAGGCCACTCTTCTGAGCTGCTGTGGTCAAAGCAAACCGCCCTTCCATCTGGAGCCTCCAGAGGACACTTCCAGCTAAGAGTAGCCCTGGGGCCACCCATGCATGCTCATATCTGCCCGCCCTGAGCCAAGCAGACATCCTGAATTTCCTGCCACAGGTTTCCTCCCCCTGAGTAACRTTCCACCGTGGGCTCCACGCCAACTTTCAAATAGCAAACTTGGAGCCCTTTACCAGAAGGTGTGCGTGCTCCTGTGAAGAGAAAAAGGAAAGAGCATCTCAAACAGAGAGCGGCCTCCGCTCCCTTGCTCCTCTGGATCTCTCCTCCTGTTCCTGTCCTCTCCTGCTTCTCTCCTCACAATTCCTCCTGCACATGCGCATGAAACAAGGGTCCTGTTTGTTTTTCCCTTGTAATAAATACACACACCCCATCACTGTGACCACAGCACTGATACAACCCTGCTGTTGCTGCTGGTGGGGGGCACTGACACTCCACTCACTGGTGTCACCCTTGGGTTCCACATCAACGCCTCAAATACAGAGAAATTTCCCAAGTGCCCACCACATACTGTTCTAAGAACAACTTTAACAGATTGACCAGGGAACAATTTGTGATTGAGAGTTTCTCTTTCATTACTCATAGCAATTCCAGTAATCTGAAGGCTTCTGTTTTCATTTTTATTTTCTAAGTCTACCAGGGGAAACCATGTTAACTGTCCTTATTTGGCAGGCGACGCAGGGGATTAAGCAAGAAATTCTGCCAGGACTCAGGCCTCTACATGCAGACCACATGGAAAATGTGGGTAATTAAATAATGCAGGCAAGGTCTCAACTGTCTCTTTGTCCTTTTATTTAAACTTCCTGCTAAGATAAGTCCCAAAGAAAGAKCGAATCAAAGGGTGGGGCTCCGAAGAAGGAGGTGCAACAAGTTTTTTAAAAAAATTTTCTTCAGTTAAAAGTTCCCTAATTCTTCAGCCACAATCTCTTACTAAAGGAACAACTTGCCCATTCTGCTCTGGCAGAAGAAAATAAGGTACTGTAAATATTTCTGTGATTAAAAATGTTTATATGTGTTTTCCTTCTTTGTCATAGAGCTTAGATAACTAAGGATCAAGACTATCTTGCCCCTCTTTTAAAAAGTCCAGAAATAATTAATTAGGCTCCATCCCCTAAGATTTTTTTCTGTACAAGTCAAAGAGTCTTAAACTTGGGCCGGTTCAGTTTCTCTTCCTGTTAGTCCTCCTTTATCCCCAATCTCTCTTACCTTTAAAATCTTAAATGCAATAAGCTGCATTGGTTAAAAAAAACATTGGGGGTTTGGGGGCTGCAGTTTTGGCTCTGTGTTAGTTAACTGTGCATCCTCAGCCAGCTCATTAGCCTCTTTGGTCACGAGTTTCTTAGTGAATAAATGGAAATATATTAGGAACTTTAAGGTTCTTTCTAACTCTGATATGTTAGAAGTCTGTCTATCTATGATGAGACATTTTTATGAATGACACTATTTTCTTACTGTCTTATTTTTCTTCAACATGCGTGTGTGTGTGCGCACACGCATATGCATGTCGTCAATTTATAGCTCCTGAAGACTATTAAAGAACTATTCGTTTTGAAAATGATTTCTGGTAAAATCTAATCACRAAATCATGCACCTTTCAGAAAGTGCTTTTGACTGTCGAATTAGATGTTTGGCTTATTATTTCCTAAGTTTCTTAAAAGAAGCATGGGGTTGTTGTCCTTGTATGTTCCGGATTAGCCTTGATACGTGATTGAGGTTATTAGTATGGATAAAGATAATTGGACATAAACTTTTCACAAGTAGTTGGCTCTTTCTTTAGAGAGCCTTATTGTTGTCAGGAATTTGTTGGAGGTGAATTACTAGAAAAACCATAAATTGTAGGTAGAATCATAAAAATCCCAGGCCCTGAAATATTACTTTCTCTCCACTTCATGGCGAATGTTGTTGTTTGGCCACAAAGCCAAATGTTTTCCATGTTAATGTAATTCATGAATTTTAAAAAGATAAAGCTTACTCTCTTGGCAGTAACCAAACCTCATTTGAATGAATATACTCTTAAAGGAAGTAGAGAAGTAATTTCTAAGTTGCCATTTTGTTTGTCAAGAAAAAGTAAGGCAAGTTTCCAACATTTGAGGAGGGTGTAGAAATACAACAAATCTAGAGGGTGTGTATGTGTGTGGGTTTCTTTTAGAATCATATTCTTTTGGCCTGTGATCATCAGGAGCCTTGGGAATAGCTGGAAGCCACACCTAGGACATGATTTAGAGGCTGGGAAGCTGTTTGGTTAAGTGAAAGCCTTTCTGGGAGGGATCAACAGTGTCATTGTTAACTCCAGGTCACAAAACCAAAACTCTAATAAACCTCACCTTTGATTCCATTACTTGGCCATAGAGAAGTCTGGCTAGTTCTTGTTCTAGTTTCTCAGAGAGCCAGGAAACTGTCAGGGCAGGACCAAATTCCACACATCACTGATGCAAGTGGGCATTCCTAGACCTAGGAATCTGAGTTATTTTCAGAGAAATTATTTGTTCATAAATTGACAGTAGATTGAACTTTGCTATGTCTTTGATAGAGATTGCTTTAAATTTTTAATTTTAATTTAAGCTTAAAATATCAGGGTTATTGAGGTGAAATTTTGTAGTTAAAAGTTAAGAAAAAGAGGAGTCCCATGTTCAAGGAGAGTAGTGAGAAGAAAAGCAAGTTAGTCTTACTTTCTCACTTCTCTAAGCATTTTTCACTTAATTGTGCCTGATTTCCAGTTTCAGTAAATAAAACATGGCTAAAAGCCCAAACACTGAACATTGCATTTATAAGTACCTGTTTTGTGCAAGGTCCTGGACAAGGTGCTGTTGGATGTACAAGGCTGCATATGAAGAAGATTTTATTCCCATGGTAGTTGGAAAGATCAGTTATAAATACATGAACACCAGTGGTGCTGCTATAAATGTCAATCAATCAAGTGGGAAAAAACTATGCTCTGGGACTTAGCTGTGAAGTGATCAGAATCAGTTAATAATGATGCATGTTAGCACCAAAATTCAAGGCAAGTCTCTGGACTTCATTGTTTTAATATATGAAATAATAATCTGGATTAGAATTTCACTAAAATTCATTCAGCTCTAGTGAATATAGGTCTATACATACATATATGGAAGAATATACTTATAAAGGTAAAATAAATGAGAAGGATTTAACATTAGAATGTTCTCTATCTTTTGCTTTATTTTTCTTAGGGTTTCTCAATGGACTCTCTAGCAACATCCATCAACCAGTTTGCCCTGGAATTTAGCAAAAAGCTAGCTGAATCTGCTGAGGGTAAAAATATCTTCTTCTCTCCCTGGGGCATCTCAACCTCATTGGCCATGGTGTATTCGGGCACCAGAGGTTCCACTGAAGCCCAGATGGCCCAGGTGAGTGGGGAAGGTCAACGGTCCCCTGCTGCCCTTAAATTACATGCTTTCTTTGTATTTTCACTTTTCTTCTGAAAACCCAATAACCCTCATTTTATAACACTATTGTCCAAATTAAGAGATACACTTTAAAAAAAAATCTTAGAACACAAAATGAAGCCCAGTGAAGGAAATCATTTTGAAAATTATTGCTAGAAAAACCATTAAAAAAAGATCTGTGTCCTTTGGCAAAATGAAATGGAGAAATGATGAGGTTATCAATTTTAGTTCAACACAAAACCAATTTCATTTTGATGACTAAAAGGATTTAAGAAATAATGAGTCAAACTTTAGATAATAGAACTATTCAGCATGCGTTTACTCTCAGAAGAGTTTTCTACACACACACACACACACACACACACACTAGAAGGATCCTTCTGTACCTCATGCCTTGTTGGCTGTTTCTTTAATTACTGGTTGTCTAGATGAATTTAAAGAGCCCAACAACAATATTAAAGTAAGAAAACAATATTAATGTACAAAAAAAGATTGTTTTACTGTAAGCATCTGTAGAGCATATGCATGTATGTATATACATATGTCCAGCCATGGATAGCAAAATAGCTGTACATGTGTGCATACAATCATATATATATGAATAAACACATAAATAAATATGAATATGTCATTATAAATTGTTAATAAATAAATGTATTTTTTTACTAAAAATTAAAAAATAAGTTCAGCCTTAAATATTACAATAATCAAAAGGACAAATGATAGAATTCTTCTCAAAATGGTTTTCTCTGTGCCCACTGTGGAAGTGGGTACAGCCAGTCCTGTGTTCTGTGTACCCGACCTAGGATCCCCCTGACTCTTGTAGCTCACAAGATATTGTGTGGTTTGAAAACAACCACAACAACAACAGGAGCACCTTGGCTCACCTCTAGGTAATGACTGGTTTCCTGGTTAGAAAGGATTAAGTGACAGGCTTTTTCTCAAGTGAATTCCAACTTGGGGACATTTCATGTAAGTACATCTCTTTGTGCTACTTGTCCTTGCTTTAGATATTAATAGCCTCATTTGCAAATGAGCCTGATTAATTGGCCCTGCACATTTTTTTCTAAGGTAGGTGCTCCTTGTTCTGTTACTATGTGTCAGTGTGATCCTCCATAAGATACTCTTTATTTCTTACTCTGAGCTGGGCCCAGGATGTGGGCAATGGAATTATCTTTTGCCTTCTGTTCTCTATTGTATAATTTGGGGGAAACAGGGATGGCCATATCCTTCCTGTTAACTTTCAAAGGAAATGCTGGGGTGAATGCAAAATTTATGTCTATGTATCTTAAGATGTGTTAGACAATGAGAAATGAAGCATTTATCTAGAAAAAATAACTAAAATCCCTGAATTTTTAAGATAATTTTGGCAATGATGGCTTTTGCTTACATTATTGAAGTAGTGGTCTCAATTTAACACCTAGCCTGCTTTCTTTTTCTATTTTTGTATTTTAGTTGTCTATCCATTATACGTGTTGACGATCTATTGTACGTATTATACATTAGATATTAGACATATTGTGATAATTTTATACATGTCAACAATGTGTGATGGGCAAATCAGCATAATTAGTATTTTCTTTTCCTTAAGCATTTATTATTTCTTTCTGTTGGAAAGCTTGGAACTACTGTCTTCTAGTTATTTTTAAAATGTGTAATAAATTTCTGTGAACCAGCATCCCTGGACTATGCTTCAAAACACTAAAATTTCTACTTCCATTCTAACCAGGTGTTGGCAGTTATGCAACCTCCCCACTCTCCCACCCCCATCTAAGCCTCTAGTCACCCTCGTTCTGCTAAGGACAGAGCAAAAACCAACTCCATCTCAGTTTCTCCCACTGACTCTCACAATTTGTATCACTTGTGACAACACCAGGTGCGTGGGGTCTTCCCCCACACACCAAGCAGTCAATATGGCAGCGAAGGCCAGCTGCATGTGGTCTTGTTTAATTCAATTCCTACACTGTACCTGGAGACAGTGTCAGATCCCACAGGTTGAAGGCTTGGTCCCCAAGACTGCCTCCTCCACCCCAATTCAGATGCCAGTCCTGGCTGCTGCCTTACACTTCTGACCATCCGGCTATGACTCTGCATCCCCACACCTCCTCCTTGGGGTTCTCTTAATTTGCCAGAGTGGCTCTCAGAACTCAAAGACATACATTTATTGGTTTATCGCCAAGGATATTACAAAGGGTACAGGGCAAGATGTGGCGCCAGGGCACAAGGCTTCCACACCTGGCCCAGTTCCCCACCCTCCAGGAACCTCCACGTGGTCAGCTGTCAGAAGTCTCCCACCCCTGTCTTGTCTTTGGGTTTGGAGTGGAACCTTCACCGTGCAGGCATGGCCGAGGTGTGGACAGCTTGTAGAAATGCTATTGGACAAGGAGTGTGAGCCGCTGCTCGTGGATGGAGGGGAGCCCAGCCAGGCTGGCTGCTGAGATTCCTCTCTGACCCCCTGGGCAGCATTCCTTCTGTAGGGACAGGGGACCCCTTTGATTGGGGTCAGGATCTGCTAGGCAAGGTAGACCAGAGAACTTCTTTATGGACAGCTCAAAGAGAGGTGAAGGGAGGTTAGAGTGTGTTTTTGGTTTCTGTGATTCATCTGCAGGAAGAGGAGTTCTGGTTTCTGTGGCCTGCCTGGGGGAGAAAAGGCAGCGGGTGAAAGGAGGGCAGGGGAAGGTCAGTGGGAGAGAACTTCTCTTTCTGAGGCAGCTTCTGAAGCCAAAAGTGCCCCAGCAGTATTTTAGTCACTTGGAAATTACATGGACTGTGGCAGCAGTGAGCCGGGAACGGTGGACAAAAGCAGAATAAATCTATTGTAATATCACATCTAATCTCCCTTCTCTGACACTGACCTTGTTAGCTAACTTGCTCATATGAGTGCCTCACTTATTTCACTTACAATGTTCCACATCGCTGTCCGTGTTGTTGCAATGAATTTTTGCTTTCTTTTATGGCTGAATAATATTCCATTGTGTATATAGAATATTGCATGTGCACAATGTAATATTTCCCATTCAGGTGTTGGTGGGAACCTTTTCAGACTCCATACCTTGACACCTAGACTTATATTCGAAACAACCATAGATACAAGTGACACATGAAAAAGGAGAGAATTTCTTTTCTTGTTTTTTTTTTTTTTTTTTTTTTTTGGTACTGGGGATTAAACTCAGAGGCGCTTTATCACTGAGCCACATCCCCAGCCCTTTTTTTATTTTGAGACAGGATCTCATCAAGTGGCTTAGTGCCTCACTAAGTTGCTGAGGCTGCCCTGAAACTTGCAATCCTCCTTCCTCAGCCTCCCAAGCCACTGGAATTACAGGTGTGCACCATGGTGCCCAGCTTAAAATGAGATGATTTTACCTCAGGCTATTCCCAACATCATCCCAAAGTTCCTATACAAACATTAAAATTAAAAGACTAGTAACATAAATTAGATTTTTAACAATTTAGTTAAAAGCAGCTCTTGACTTATTATATTAGTTTAATTAGTACATTAGTAAAGTTAAATGAGGGCCTCCTTGTTTAACCAATTATATGTTCTGCATTTATAAGAATGACAGGCTCATATTTACAAATGTTTATTCCATATGATTATTCATATGCAAATTGTACTTACTTTTCTTTTTATTGGTATTACAGGTTCTCCAATTTAACAGACACCAGGACAGCAAATCTTGTCCTGAAAGTGAAAAAAAAAGGAAAATGGTATTTATTATCTTTTACTATCCATTTAACAGTTGCGGGGAAAGAACTTTTAGAACATGTATTTTAGTAGTTGATTTAAACAACCTTTCATGGGTAACCTTTCTTAGAAACTTGTTAAAATTATAGAAATTCTCTTCAGGACAGAAAATATTCTAGTTTTCAGAAGAGTCTCTTGTCTCATCTCATTTTTAAATTTCTCTTGAAAATTCTCTACTTTTGAACTTGCTCTTGCCTTTGCAAAATGAATGTTCAGAAAGGAATAAATATGCTTCATCGATAATAAAGTGTTTGCTGTGATAAAGTTGAAGAAGACATTTGGGTCTATGTTAGAATGAATTTCAGCTTTTGTTTGCAATACACCAAATCATTTTAATTTGCTATAGGTTGAACACATATATGTAGCTCTGGTTCAACATCTTTTAAACTCTCTTTCTTTTAAAGGAATTCACATCCAGCAAGGCTGAAGGAATATGCTCTGACTTCCAGACACTTTCTGCAGAAGTCGTCAAATCCAGCCATTCCTATATACTTAAAACAGCCAACAGAATATATGGGCATAAGTCATATCCATTTAACAATGTAAGTGCAAACGGCTTATTTTAAGCTAATGGGAAAGAAAGAGCCATGTGAATCCAGTTAGACCACTAATTCCAAAGAGGCATCAGGAGTAAAAAGTTCCACATTTCTCTAGAGATCCCAGGGACAATCTTAATGTGGTCAGTACTTTCTGGTAAACCATTATCTAGACCAAGCACTTAGCATCTAGTTGTAAAGGAAACTAATAATGGGTCTCAAACCAGGTGTCGTGATCAGGGTTTTATAAGGTGAAAAGGGAGTGTAGCCTAAGACGTGAGAGTAGGGAGTGATTTTCACATCCGGACTTTAGAGAGACACTGGGGATATGGAACATGCAACAATGCCAACTTACCCCTTCGATAATGATTGAATCTGCATCCGTCTATACTGCCTTGTCCTGTGAACTCAGAGTGTGGCAGGCAGTCATGTGCCTCTCTCGGTCTGTCCCTCACTTCCATTGGCATAGATCAGAAAGGAACAGGAGGACCCAGACATTGAACCCAAAGGGCAAGGAAGTTAGAGAGGGCAGCAATCAGGTAAAATAAAGCTATTTTGTGGTTTCCAGCAGTGCTATCCCTGTCCATATCGGGGGAATTCTGGGGAGTTCAGGACTTGCTATTTGGTATTACAAAGGGCACAAAACCAGCCAAATGGGGTCTTACAGACAGTTTCACTAATGGAAGGCTTATGAGCTCCTGTTTGATTCTGAAGTAGGTGAGATGACTGAGCTCAGTGGGCACTTGGGAAACAAGGGGACATGGACATAGAAACATCTTTTTACGTGTCCACAGCTCTGAGTTAAGACAGGGAGTGGTGCTTCCTGAAGAGTCAGGTTTTCTTTGTGCTAGATTAAAAATTCTGCAAAACTTGGCCTTTATAATCTCAAACCATTTCCCATAAACAATTAACTTGCTATTTTTATTCCTTCAAGCCCTCCATGAAGGAATACCACAACTACATACAGTAATGAATTATGCTCCCAAGGCAGGGGGACCCATAGTGACAACCTCGGTGACAGCCCATTGTGCTGACTGCCACCAGATGAAAGGACAAGGCCTGGCCTGTTTCCTTGGAATGCTGGGTGAAAGCTTTAACCACCTTACAAATCAGCTTTAACAGCAGAAGATATTTTCCATCCTAGTTCCCAGGACTTTAGAGTTCACTGAAGGCAGATGCCAGACCAGGGAGCTAACTGTTATTGTGTCCCTGACACAGAAAGCCAAGCTCAACTCCCAGTACCCTTGGCCAAGGGGGTCACTCCTGAGATTTATAGCCTCCTCCCTTTCCATCTTATCCTCATGTCCCAGTATGAATAAAAATGGACCCAAAGAAGTTGTAGAAGACCCAGCACAGAGGGAGACTGACCTTCCTTCCACACCTGGAGTTTTGCATGACTAGTGGGTTTAAAGAGGGATGTGTTGAGATTTAGACCAAAACTGAGAGTGAGGAAAGAGAGATGGGAGGGATGGGGTAGAGTTTGCCATTGTTCATCTCTGTGGTTTTATTTATTTATTTTTTTAATAATGTAAATAGATTTGATTTCTCAATTTTGGGCAAAGTCTACAAAAGAAGATTTTACCTATGTCTTTCAGAAATATTTAGAAGATATGAAAATGTATTTTGATGCAGAACCACAGTCTGTTAACTTTGTGGATGCTTCTGATCAAGTCAGAAAGGAGATCAACTCTTGGGTGGAAAGCAGGACTGAAGGTACCCTGTCACCAAGGGGCTGGGTGCAGGGTTCTCCCAGCATCGCTGCATAATTGAATTTGTGCCTTGTGTAACTGTCTGTATCTCTCTTTTTTAACATCTATTTTTTAGTTGTAGGTGGAGACCCAATATCTTTATTTCATTTTAATATGGATGCTGAGGATTAAACCCAAGGCCTCAGGCATGCTAGTTAAGCGCTCCACCATTGAACCACAACCCCAGCTCCTAAATGGAACTATAGACATAGTGTAAATATTCAAAACTTCTACATGTGCTTATTCCCATACTCTTTAGACTTTCAGCTTTCCCAGTAAGTCCCAACTGAAACCCAGAATCCCAATCACTACTCTATCCAGTAGACAAGAGAAGGATCACAGCCCACTAATTCCAAAGAGGCATCTGGGTTTTAGAAGCAGGAAAGTGCAAAGAAGGAAATGTGAAATGCTGCTGTAGTTGTGGCTTTGACATAAATAATAACTACTAACAAATAACAAAAATGGGGCATTAAATATGCTACATTATCTTAAATAGTTTTCAAAATAAGGTGGTGTGTTAGAGTATGGGCCGAGAGGTGTATGTTCTGTGTTCTGGAGGCAAGATGTCCAGGTGCAGTTGGCCAGCCCCCCTCTGAAGGCACCAGCAAGGCACTTTCTCATGGTCTCCTGGCTTTGCTGGTTGCTAGCAATCCTTGGCATCCCTGGTGTGCCCATGCATCACTGCAGCCTGTGCCTCTGTGAGAACATGGCTCTGTGTGTGTGTGTGTGTGTGTGTGTGTGTGTGTGTGTGTCTGTCTGTCTGGCTGTCTGTCTATATGTCTCTCTCTTTTTCTCTTCTTTCTGGTACTGGAGATTGACCCTAAGCATGTCCTACCACTGAGCTACATCCCCGACACTTTCTTTTGTTTTCTATTTTGAGGCAGGGTCTCCCTAAGTTGCCCAGCCTTTTCTCAAGCTGTGGATCCCCTGCCTAGGCCTCACTAGCAGTTGGGATCACAGGTGTGTGCTACCAGTACTGGCTCTGTGTGTCTTTTGTGACTCTATCTTCAAATGGTGTTCTCCTCTCTTTACATCTGTGTATCAATTTCCATCTATTTATAAGGATACCAGCCATTGGATTGGGGCTTACCCTAATCCAGGAGGATTTCTTCTTAATTTGATTAAATGTGCAAAGACTATTTCCAAATAAGGCCACATTCTTAGGTACCAAGGGATAAAACTTGACTGGCTCCTTGGCAGGGGTAAGGAAGTCAAAATTAAACCTACAACAGTGTGATATTATTGCAAAAAATGCATAACTGAATATTATCTTGAGGAAACAAACAAACCCAAACTTGAGAATTCTGGGACATTTTACAAACATGGCAAGTATTTTTCAAAGAGTACCAAGGTCATGGAACAATGAATGAATGAGGACTTGTTACAGATTAAAGGGGATGAAGAAATCACAATCAAATGTAATGCAAGATCTTGATTGACTTATGGCCCAGAAATTAAAGGATTTTATAAACAGTTGATGGAATTTGAATATGACCTGTTAATAGTACTCTAGTGATAGGAACTTCCTATCATTGTGTCATTGGTAGAAATAAAATGCTATTTTTTAGGAATATTTTGCAGTCATCATTTTTACCAATGTGGCACATACCAGGATGTAACAATTCCACTTTTTAGTTACTTATTTTTAGAAGATAAGAAAAAAATTAATTTTTTGTGTAAGAGTAAACTCAACACCTGGACGTACTTTATTAGTTTTGATTTTCAGTTAATTCTCCTTGCTTACCGCATTACCTGCAAATAATAATTTTGTCTGTTCTTTTTATACAATCATATCTTATTTAGTTTTCTTACTTTATGACATGAGTTACCATTTTGATAAAAATATTAAATAATGGTACTCAAAACAGACTATGAATACTACTAGTATTTTTTTGGTAAGTATAATTATGAAAGTGTTTTGGAGAAAAAATATTCTTTTTCCTATTAAGAAAGTACTCATTCTTTTTAATGTACAATGACATAACTTAAAAATTATAAATAGTTGATGAAAATAGATCAAAAGTATTTTTATATCCATCAAGATGATTTTTCTCCTATCACCCATGAGAACAATGGCCTCAGTTTGTTTAGGCTGCTATGATAAAATCCATTGCCTGGGAAATGTGTGGATTGTAGAAATCATTTCTTACAGTTCTGGAGGCTGGTAGGTTCAGAATCAAGACACCTGGGTCTGTTGGGAGCTTATTCTTTCCTTCTAAGAGGACACCTTCCTGCTGTGTCCTCCTGTGTAGAAGGACTCACAGGAATCCTAATATGTCCTGAGGGTAGAGCCCCCATGACCTAATTACTCCCTGGGACCCCATCTCCACACTGTCGGGGTAAGTATTAAGTTCCAACATATGAGTTTCGGAGGAGCACAAATATTCACACCACAACAATAATGCATTATACTAATAGATTTCTTGATATATGTTTCTTACCTTCTGACATAATCTATACTTATTTTCTAAATTCAACATGATTTTTTTTTGTTTATATTCATAAGAGAAATTGGTTTATAGGTGGCAATTTTGTGCTTCCTTGGTTGTGTCTTCATACTGGGGATGTGCTAGCTTGATATAAGTAATCAGAGGGCTTTTCATTTTTATGCTCTGAAACTGTAATAGAGCTCTATCAATAATTTGAAAGTTTAAAAGAATCCATCTTTTTACATGCATGCCTGGGATGTATTTCCTGTTTTTAAAGGAGGTTTTCAAATCTCTAAGAAGTAGCCACTTGATTGTTCTGATGTTTATGAGGCTTTTTTTTTTGTGTGTGTGTGTGTGTGTGTGTGTGTGTCCCTTCCCCTTGGTTTTCTACTAATTCTTGCATTTTCTGTTAATATGAAAATTCATCCATATCACCTTTTTAAATGAAGTACTATAAGCTATATTTTAAAAATCGATTTCATGTCTATACTTGGACTGTTGAGAAGATTTTTGAATAGTTTCTGTTTCTGGGGGAAGCTGAATCAGGTTCTATCTCCATTTATCAAACATGTTGACTTTATAATGCACCTCTAAACCTGATCTTATGCATTTTTAAGAAGGTGCTTTAGTGGAGAGTTTGGACAGAATGTATCAGGGGCTGCCTATCAAAGATCACTTTAAACAATGGCTAGATCAATATAATATGCACAATTGCAGAAAGCAATATTTTAGGGGCAGAGGGAGACACTGTCACAATCTTTCAGATTTAATCAGAGAAGTTCACAGTGTGTGACTACAAACAGACGTAAGAGAGATGAAGCATTTCTGTCTTCTCAAAATAGAGGTACAAAGCAACTTGTATCAGAGGGAATTTTTATAATTGAAATGCAAATTTATTCCTAATGTGAAATAATACTTATTGGCCACTCAGCATATTAATTCTTCAGTGTTTCCCTGGTTTCTCATAGCTACTCTAAACAGAAATAGGACTTAAATTCCTGAATGGACCTGTTTCTGGAAGATCTGAAATAAGAACTTTTAAAGAAAATTTTATGAGTCTAGAAAGATGGAAGTCTGGTTTTATAACTAAAATAGACACATTTCTACTAGGCCATTTGAAATCTGTCCTTTTACTCTTGCAGGAAAAATTCTGAATCTCCTACCGGATGACTCTGTGGACTCCCTGACCAGGATGGTCCTGGTGAACGCCCTTTACTTTAAAGGAATCTGGGAACATCAATTCCAAGTGCAAAATACCACAGAAAAGCCTTTCAGAATAAACAAGGTGAGAATCTGAACTTGTGAAAGATCAGCTTGAATTGTCACGTGGCTTTGTAACATGACCCTATTTTAAATTTGCTCTTCTTTCTGACTATATATTCCTCTAAACTAGGACTCTTACTAGGGAAGGGATGGCTGGGCAAAGCTCTTAGTTCTCTCCCACACAGAAATTCCCCTGTCACTGTTTTTCTCTGACCATGAACATATTTTATCATTTGGTCTTATGAGCTGGGTAGGTTTTATAGTTATTTCTCAGTTGAGAAATACAAGGTGGCCAAGGGACTGGAGGCATGAATGAGTGGGAAGGAGTTCAGAACCAGAACCTAAGACCCTTCACTGTAAGTTCTGTTCTTATTCTACTAAACCAATGCTATCTCCTACCCCATTCTTACCCTTCCRTAAGTAAAAGCAGTTAAAATGCTAGATCTCATTTCATTAAGGTTTCTTTCTGATAGGCTTGTCCCTATTACAAGCAACAGGAACTCACTTCAGAAAACTGACAAAGTACTTTAGATGCACCACTTTAAAGAAGGAGAGCTTCACTGTGGCTCTTAGTTTCAGTCCATGGTCACTTTTCCTGTCATTTTGGGCCTGTGGTGAGGCAGGACATCATGGAGAGGGTGTGTAATGGATCTTACCACTTAGCAGCTAGAAAAGAAAGAGAGAGAAGCGSCTAGGATGGCAGTACCCCCTTCAAGGGCATGCCCAAGGACCTGAGTTCCTTCCCTAGGCCCTAACTCCAATGGTCCCACCCTCTCCTAAGAGCACCAATGACTGAAGATCAACACATGGTCTTTGGAGGCTATTTAAGATCCAATGATAATAGAAAGGAATGTGGCTGGGATACGAGTGGAAATAAGAAATCAATGTCAGGATTTTTTTTTTCTCAAGTTTTTCAACTCCCTTTCTTCTGTCAGTCTTCTCTCGGGCCAAACTGTAACTTTCTCTGCTTTTTGATCCACAGTAGCCACATGGCTACCTACAGCCTTCTCATTTCTAGAGACCAGGCTGATGCAACCCATCTGAATTTTTAGGAAGGGAACTGCTGGCCAAGGTTGGTTCCAGTTGTGCTGGCCAGGGTGGTCTTATCACACAAACAGCGCTGCTGAGGACCTCCCACTGCAACTGTGTTGATGTGTGTAGCAGGGATCCTCTAAGGATGGGGCAGGCAAAACACACAGCGCAACAGGCTAATGAGAAATGAGCTGAGTAGTTACTTGAGTTGGAATATTTGGTTACATTTTAAACTAGCTCCAACAAAATGGGAATTAGGTTATGTCCCTAAGAGGAAGTGGGCAGTCCAATGGGTGGGGTCTGTAGAGCTGTAGGTAATCTTAGTTGTCTCTCTCTCACCTTCTCCTTCTGCCCTCACCTCTTCTTCCTGCCTCACCCTCATTCTGTTATATTGAAGATGGAGTCTATCTAAGTGACTAGGGAATATAGYTGCTTCATTCTTAGCCTTCTAGTTCCACTCTCCTATTAGAAATGGAAAGTCCTAGCTGTTGGTTCTAACAGCTTGATAACAGGAGGATTCTGGTGGGGGTCAGACTTGTGCTCACCTGGAAACAGGCACAGTATCCTGGGGTGCTCCCCATAAATGGCCCTGGTCACATGGCCATCAGCTTAGCATACGGGTGCTACCTTGGGATTGACCTCAGCTCTATGCAGAATGGATAAATAACATGTGTGTACAACATCTGGATTGCAGAAGGTTTTGTTTTGCAATTGACTTTTATTTTAAAATGCTTTATTTTTAGAGCATTTTTTGAAAATTTAGAAAAWTTTTTTTTTCAGAAAGTACCAAGTTCCCATATCAGGCCCTTCAACACACGTCAACTTTGCAGTATTATTAACATCCTGCATGGTACATTTTTTATAACTGGTCAGCTCATCTTGACAGCTTAGTATTAACTCTCTGGAGCTGATAATGTTTCCAGGTTCACTCTTGGTGTTGTATTGTTCTGTCGTTTTGACAAATGAATAATGTCACATAGCCACCACTGTAGAATCGTTCAGAAGAGTTTCACCACTCTATAAATGCCCTGTGGCTCCACCTGCTCGTTCCTTCCACCCAGGCCCTGGCAACCATTGGTCATTTTATTGTTTCCACAGTTTTGACTTCTCTAGCCTTTTTAGGCCAGCTCACTTCACTTAACAATATGTACTTAGGGACCCTGAATATATTTTTACATCTTGATAGATCCTTTTGCTTTATTGCTAAATAATTTTCTATTGTGCAGATGTGTCAGAGTTTGTTTAACCGATCACTTATTGAAGCATGTCTATTTCCTACTAGTTTGGGGTAATAATGAATAACAATGAGATAAACACTTGTGTTCGAGTTTTGTGTGGACACAAGCTTTAAACATATTTGAGTGAAGAGCGAGAAGCACAATTGCTGGATTATAGGAAAAGACAATGTTGATCTTAGTCAGATACTGTCAAATTGTCTTCCAAAGTGGCTGTTCCATTTTACATTCCCACCAGCAATGAATGGAACATATCTTTGTCAGCCTGTGGTATTGTTAGTGTTTGGATTTTTGCCGTTTTAATAGTTGCTTTAACTTTGAGTACTCTAATGAAATATGACTGAGCATTTTTTCATAAGCTAGAATTGCCCATTCATATCTTTTGCCAATGTTTAAAACTGGATTGTTTATTTTATTTTTGTTGAGTTTTAAGAATTATTTGTATATTTTAACACCAGTCCTTTGTTAGATACATTTTGCACATGTTTTCTCTTAGTCTATTGCTTGACTTTCCTTCTTAGTGCATTTCAACTTTTATGATACTTTCTCAAATGTTTGCATGTGAAATATATCTTCTTCAGTTTCTGGATCATTGACAGTTACATAGTTAAAATTATATATTGTTCAAAATATTTTGTAGAATCCACCTTACTATGACTTATAGAGATTTCTGGAATAGTGTTAGAGATGGAACTTTCCTTCCCATTCACCTCTTACCAGTGATACTGTTCAGAATTTCCAAAAAATAAGGTCTGGATAACTTTATTTGGTATTTACCAGAGGATGATCGGTTTCATCAATGTCCTAGACAGCTGGGAACCAATGGTGATCAAGAATTAAGAACTTGGTGGAACATCTCTTCAATGACTTTGCTACCTATTTTTTTTTATATATATAGACTACAAGCAAACCAGTGCAAATGATGTTTATAAAAGAGAAGCTTCAAGTTTTTCATATTGAAAATCCACAAGCCACAGGCCTCCAACTTGACTACAAGGGCTCTGACCTCAGCCTGCTTGTGCTACTGCCTGATGATGACAGCACACTGAAGCAGGTAAACGTGTCCGTCTCTCCTAGGTGAAGATGGCGCCTGCGTTCACCCTTGTCTTCCAGGGAGAAACTAAGGACTCAGCCTCCCTGCTTCTTAACTCCTGAACAGGAAGGCAATCAGCCAACTTGCCTTGAGCTCTCTGTACTTTACCTAAACAGTATCATTTAAACTTTGCAAAGCTCTATAAAGTCGATATTACTATTACTTGGAGAGGTTAGGGAATCCATAGACACCTCTAACATGGGCTAGTTACACAAAGATCCACATATACAACAGAGATAGATTCTCTTTGCCAGGTACAGAGCTGTGTGGACTGATCATAGGAATCTTTCAGTCTAGGTCTCCTGGTAGAAACTGTGTAATTCAAGATGTGTGTGTGTGTGTGTGTGTGTGTGTGTGTGTGTGTGTGTGTGTTGTTGAGGATGAAGCCCGGGACCTCATCATGCTATGCTAAGCAGGTTCTCTATCCCTGATCTATACCCCCCTACCCAAGATTAATTGTTCTAATCATTTTTGTGTGTGCATGTGTGTGTGTGTGTGTGGTGTGTTCTACAACTTTTTTTTTTTACATTTTTTTTCCTAAGTAAAAACTTTCATGAAAAAAAACCCTGTATTGGTGCTATTTTCAGATATTATTTAAGCTGTTTATTAACCATATTTCTATTAGGCTGGATGTAATTTTGGCCAGACCATGTTCCTGAGCAGTTGCATGCCTAATAGAATGAACACTGGTGTCTCATGCAGTAGATGGCTTTTCCTTGCACTGGGCCTTTCATCTGTGCCAGACTCTTAGTTGTAAGTTTCCATGGCCCTACCGGTATGTAGAAAAGATTTCCAAATTGTTTCATAAATATGTGAAACTAAAAAGAATGGTAAAAGACCATTGTGGACCAGTACCCATGAGTCTCACAGCCTAAGATAAGTTTCTCTTCTTAGGTGTGCAGGGTCCCAAGCTGAAGATACTGTCATGTTATTAATATACATCATATATAAATATGTCACTAACAGCCAATGAATGCTTGGGTATAGGAAACTCTCAAGATAGCAAGAGTGCGTGCTTTTGAAACAAACATGTCATTAAAAAATTCAAACATATACATATATAAACACACATGCATATGTACATATACATTCATATGTACACATTCATTTATTTATTATTTTAAAATTCAGAATATAAAGAGGATAAAATTACCCTCATATTTAATATTAAAAAAACTATTCCTAAGAGTTAGGAGCTTTCATTTTTAAATTTTTCTTTTATGGCATAGTTTATGGTTATTGGGTTTATATTATTGTGATTTTTAGAGTATAGAAATTTTATTTTGCCCCAGAGTTTGGTTTCAAAGAATTCTCTCCCATGTTGACCTACAAAACAAAAGGTTCTGCAGGTCCACTCCACAAGGCTATCATTACACAACCAAAAGGATTTACAGCTGTGTGCGTTTGTTACCCTGGGTGAAGGGAGTGATTGCAATTCATCTGTGGGATCCCTAGGGGTTGCTCTTCACCATTTTCCTCTCCTGACTTCGTTGGTTCTGATCCGCAGCTGGAAAAGGTGGTCACCTCTGAGAAGCTGAAAGAGTGGACCAGTGAAGACATGATGGAATTGTGTGAAGTGCAGCTGCATCTGCCCAAGYTCAAGCTGGAGGAGAGTTATGATCTCAAGTCCACTCTGAGCAGCATGGGGATGACAGATGCCTTTAGCCAGAGCAAAGCAGATTTCTCAGGAATGTCTTCAGAGAGAAACCTGTTTCTGTCCAATGTTTTCCACAAGGCTTTTGTGGAAATAAATGAACAAGGGTCAGAGGCTGCAGCTGGCACCGGGAGTGAGGTGGCTTTTCGAAGAGGATTCCCCTCCATTGAATTCAATGCAGACCACCCATTCCTCTTCTTCATCAGGCACAACAAAACCAATAGCATTCTCTTTTACGGAAGATTCTGTTCCCCCTAAACCCTGTGTCTCTCACCTAATAAGACTATCTTATGGTGTGAAAAATGCACCATATGATAGAAAACACAGTTATCATGAAAATAAGTGGTCTACACCTCTTTTCACTTTTAAATAATGATCTTGTCATTTCTGTATAGCTAGAGATAATGAAGCTTTTTATTTTTACCACACAAGCAGCAGTTGGTTTTAATGTGACTTTGATTTACCTTGCAGATATGCTATGTTATTCCATCTAATAATTCACAGTTCTTGAGCTACCTGATCATTGTATTAATGTCAATTACATTTCACATTCATTGATTAGTGTAGAAAATATTTATAAATGCAACATAATATTGAAAAATAAGACATTTTCAAGAATATCATTTGTTGACTCTTAAAATCCAACATAAAATTAGCTCTCCCTGTCTGCTATTTAAAAAAAAAATACTTATATGGACATTAATGAGAAATCTAGTGAAATGCAAGTGAAATCCATGATTTAGTTAGTAGCAGTGTACCAATCTTGATGTCTTAGCTTTGATAAATGTACCTTGATAATATAAGATGTTAAGCATTAGGGGAAATTGTATTGGGGGTGTATGGGAATCCTATTATTTTTGCAATTTTTATATGAATCTAAAATTATTCAAAAATAAAAAATTGTTTAAAATAATTATGTGTAAAAAGTCAGTCACATTTGAGCCTTAATTTTAAAATTATAATAAGCTAGAAGAGTAAATTTTTCATTTATATAAATAGGTGTTAAGTTATTTATAACATCATATTTTAATAAAACTAAAATTTCCATAAAATTGGCTGTGATTTTACAATTTATTTTATGCCTTATTATCTTCTAATACAAATTTGTTTATTGGTGGTCTCATAAATTGTTGTTCTAATTTTAGAGACCAATTTTTGCCATTCAGATTTGCTTTTTTTTTTCTATTTCTCTAATAAAATGTAAAACTCTATCTCATGAAAAGCATACCTATTAGTATAAAATCTATTTCCTGAATGGAATCTTGGTCCTGTGTTATAGGATACAAGAATAGTTCTATGCTTTAGCAAAAAAAAAAAAAAAATGATACAAACTTGTATCATACTTTTATGAAACATTTTGCTTCTATCCATAATGTCCCACATTTACTAGCAGTGAAAGCAATCCCCTGTGTTTGTGTTCCAATAAATTAAAAGTTGTTAAATGTTATACATCACTGTGAACTAGTAAGTAGTGAGTCATATGTGTTTGCATATCAAGTCAGATCAAAGGAAGACCTGCCTACCACTACTCTCAGAGGTTGACAATCAGAAAATAACAAAAGCAACATATTTTAAACAAACAGCAATAACAGGAAAATGTTGATCTTAGAAACTTCAGTAAGATTCACTCAGGCAGTCGTTAAATCAAAAAGTGTTCATTGATCAGCTTGGAAACAGAAACAGAATCTGCTGGTTCCCTGTGAGCAAGGAGCTCCCACACTTTAATGTGGGGAAAAGTGGAAGTTAGTGAAAAGAATGTTTGTAAAATAAATTGTAATATTCTTGGAGGGGTGTGTGTGTGTGTGTGTGTGTGTGTATGTGTGTGTGTGTGTTGTTTAAACGAAGAAGCTTTAAATAGCGGGATTTGCTGTTACACGTTCTTCTCCTTCAGTGCAAATGTTGATAGCCTGTCTTTTTAGAAGAATCAGGGACCTTCAGGATCAGCAGATAATTATCCCTACAAACCTCATTTCTTACCACGCAAAACCAGCGTCGGAGAGGAGTCTCAGTTCTCTCGGAGCATTATTTATTTATTTTGGAGGACTTCTTTTAGAGGTGGTATGCCCATTGAAGTACAATATAGACGTGTGCACATGTACACATGTTAATGCACAGAAAGTCCTCTGGCGGAGAAAGGAAACGACCCCACTCTTTAATTTCTATAACTTGGCATTGCTCGATTTCTGTTATATTGGCACACATCGCTCTTTTATTTCTGTAATATAATGTCTGAGAAATGTCCTCTGAGCTGGGCTTGGAGTGGAATGGAAAAGGCACCAGAGCAGAATTACAAACTGCAAGGAAAAGTGCAAGGAGTGACGTCACCAGAAGGGCGGAGTAGAAGCCCTAGCTCAGCTCCCCCGCCTGCGATCGATCGGAACCGCCCCGGGAAAACCAATCACAACTACCTAGTGGCAAAATCACCAGCTGGTGTAACCCTGAATTTAAAATAAAGGCTGTGAAGGAAAACGCGCACCTCTGACCGTAAGCCACCCCTTCGAGCTGACCCAGAGGCAGAAGTCCCCCAGCCCCGGGGCACCCTGTCGCAGTTTCTAGACTGGGAAAAGTGAGATCCTTGAGGGTCCTCGCCTTAGTTCATCCGAAGCGCGGTTAGTGCTGGTAGGACTGGCCAGTCCAGTCAACGACAAAATGTGGAGTGGGGCTGCTGACTCCTGAGGTCCCCTAGGAAAACACAAAATTTGAGAGGCTTCGTAATAACCAGCCACACTGCAAGAGGCACTCCACTGCCGGCCTTCCCACAACCTGGGTGAGCCCTTAAGGTCCTCTTCAGGCCCATTTAATTGGAGCATCCAAAGTTAAAATAGGTGCAAGCCCTGCAGCAACCTGGTCTTGGGGCGCCATCTCGTGTCATAAAAGAGGCATTAACTCTGAGTTAAGGGAATCCTACATTCTGCACAAAACCACTAGACAGACCTAACTTTAAAAACACAGACACACACCAGGCTGGACGGTGAAGATTGAAACAAACAAACAAAAAACCCCAACTTCTTCAACAACGCAAAGCCATAAAGGGGCATACAAATATTCTCACCAGATGAAGACAGAAGACCTTACAGACCAAGAACTCAAAATGACTAGAGGAAACTCAGCAAACTCCAGGACACAGAAAAGCAATTCAAAAATTTATCAAAGAAATTTATCAAAGAGATTAAAATAATTTAATATGAAACAGGAATTCTGGAGCTGAAAATTTAGAGAGAATGAACTGACTTTAACAATATAGGATATTTGGGACAACTTTGAAAGAGTCTAGGGGTCTTTTGGAGGTCAAAAGGGACTTGAAAACAACAAAAGGGTGAAATGTTTATTTTATGAAATAACAGCAGGAAAAAGTCTAAACCTCAAGAGAGATCAAGTATCTAGGTACCATGTGCTAGTCATCTTTGCATCACTTTAACAAGATAATTAACTTACAAAGAAAAGGGGTTTATTTTGGCTTGTAGTTTTGGACCTGTGGTGGCACAGCATGGCAGAAAATGTGTCAGAGGAAAAAAAAACTGCTCCCTTCATGRCTGGGAAGTGAAAGAGGAAGAAGAAAGGTTTGGGGTCCCTCTGTACCTTCAAAGGCACATCCTCAGTGACTTGAAGACTCTTCACTAGGCCCCACCTTAAGTTTCAATCACCTCCCAACAGTGCCAGTCTAGAATCAACCTTTAACACATGGCCTTTGGGGACATTCCAGGTCCAAACTACAACATGCAGGAAGATTAAAGTACACCAAAACAGCTTCAACACAAATAGCACTACCCCTTAAAAATTACTATCGAACTATTAAAAGTAAGAGAAAAGAAGAGGTTCTCAAGGCAATGGTAGGGGGATAAAAAAGCAAATAATACATACAGGAAGCCCAATGCACTTTACACCAGACCTCTCAGTGGAGACTGAGAAGACAGTGGATGATATATTCAGAGTGCTGAAGATCAAAAACTGCCAACCAAGAAGGCTGTCCTTCAGAAATTAAGTGGGGAATTTCTCACAAGATCTGGCCTGCAAAAGATGCTAGAATAGTACTCTAACATATAAAAAGCAAAGAGCGGAAGGTATAAAATACACTAGTAAAGATAAGTACACAAATAAATTCAGAATACTCCAATGTGACAACCATAGAATGTAATCCAGTTATAGCCTTAACATGAAGGCTAAAAGAACTATTTAAAAAGATTGTAACTATGAGAAATTTTTAAAGGCTAGGTAATATAAAAGATGGGAATTGTGGCATTAAAATTTAAAGTGTGAGTGTATGGGTGAACCTAAGTTGTTGATTTTTTTTTCTTTTGTTTGTAGTCAAAAATAACTGTTTAGAATAACTTGTATTTATAAGATGTAGTTTGCAAGCCCCATGGTAGTCACAAAGGAAAAACTTATAATGGATACACTAAAAATAAAGAGCAAGGAATCAAAACATGCAACTACATAAAATCCCTTAACTACAAAAAAAGACAGTAAGAAAGGAGGAACCAATCAAGAAAACTAGAATACAAAAGCATCAAAATACCACTAGCAAGTCCTTACTTATTACACTGATTGCCTTAAATATAAACAGGCAGACTAAAATTTCCAGTTAAAAGATGGTAGAGTCAATGAATGAATCAAAACAAAACCAAGACTTAAAAATGTGCTGCCCACAAGGAACTCACATCACCTGTAGGGGCATGTGTAGACTAAAAGTGTAGGGAGTGGAAAAAACGTTCCAAGTACACGGAAACCAAGAGTGGGCAGGGGTGGCTATACTTATATAAACGTACCTTAACTCAAAAACTGTCAAAGTAGATAAAGAAGGACACAGTGCAATGAATTTTCCACTTTTATACCTCTGGGTAACCTCTCCCCACTTCCAGCACGRTTGCCCCCAGACGGCAGGCAGCGTTTCCACCCTCATTTGCCATAGAAAACTCCGGAGGTGGTGACTTCTGCCTCTTCCTTCCAGCACTCCGGGAAGCTGCGCCCGGGAAAAGCACTGCGGGTAGGACCCGCCCTTCTCAGTGTCACGCCCCGCGCTGCTCGGCGTCTCCATCCCCGCAGTGCACCCCCACTCCGGCCAGACAGYGGCGCCAAGAACTTGGGGTGTGCGTGTGGCTTAGGGAGCTGCTCCCACACGTGCGCTTCGGGTTCCAGAGACAGCACCGGGAAAAGCGCTGCGGCGCACAGGAACACCCAGGGCACCTTTGCTGGCTCCCCGGGGCTCCCCTTCTGCATGGTGTCACCAGCTGGTGCTCAGAGGGAAAGGGCATGACCGC